ATTATCCCGCACCTTCAGTTGAGCGCTTCATCTGTGCTCAGTTTGATGACACTGCCAAGGCAGCCGCCCACTCCTGTCCATTGTAAATCTGAGAGCAGACTCATAGGGCAACAATCCGGTTTGGGGGCCTATAATATAAGTCTATAAGCCCTGAACTCTAAATCAAACCCTGAATCCTCAAACTCAGGACTTGGTTCTAGGGCTCCGGGATTCGGGTTCGGGCTTGGGGTTACGATACATACAAACATCTGCTGCTGGCTGGGGCTGAGGGCCAGAAAGAAACACTGGGAGCTTCTTTGCAGTTAATATAGGGGCCTTAATAATTAGAATAGGGTCTGGGGGCCCAGGTAATTATTTAGGCCCCTACACTACGTTGACCTGCGTCCGCCCTCCCTGACTTTGACGGTGACGTTTATTACTCTGCAAATCGAACACGTGACATTGCCACTGCTTGCGTCTTTGTGCTTCGGATACCGTGACGGTGGATAGTGGAATTGCAGCATTTCTCGTCAGAGCTATGCCATTGCAGTTCTATCTTTGTGACAAAGACTGATCTCGTTGTTGTTGATGAATTGGTGCCATTCAACCAATGCTGCTGCCGTTGCTTCTTGAAGTAGATGCTGCTGGGTGTCGCTGCTGCTGCGGTTGCGGTTGTTGCCGTCGTCGTTGCTGTCGTTGTCGAGTGCGTGCCCGCTGACTGTAGAAGTCATCATACAAAAATGCACCACTTGTAGAGCTCAGAGCGCCACAAGCCGCCGAAACCCAAAGCTAGGTGTTGCTGCTTACGGTTCAAGCATTATCCTTCAGAGTTCAATGTAACTAGAACAACAAACCGCAAACAAGCAGGCCTGATCGAAGAGATCAGCCCTATCCCTGGCAGTGCCCGCAAATGTTGTGATGACCACCTGACAGGATCTCTGGTGGGATGCAAGGTTTACTGAGCAAGGGTGTGACCGGTATCTCGAAATACAAGTATATCGAAACTGTAAAACGGTCTAGACACTAAATAGACCCTAAACCCTAAACTCTAAATAGACCAAAAACCCTAAACCTTAAACTCTGAATAGACCCCAAACCCTAAACCCTAGACTCCAGAGCGACGAGGAGCACCTTCACGAGTCAATGAGAGTCAGGTGTTAGGGTTTATCGTAAAGTCGTAAAGTCCCAAAAGTTGGAAACCGGATTAAGGACCATTAGTGCTGGGATTCCCTATGCAGTACTTGTAAGGATTGAGGCTGGGTTTCCAACTTTTGGGCTTCTCCTGTAATGGGTGTTGTCTAGGACCCTACACCCTAAACCCTAAACCTTTGCACCGTCGAGGGTCCTTTTGTGGAGGCCCAAGGAGCCAAGGATCAGCAGACCGTGCATTGAAGGCTCTCAGGGTTTATATTACAGGAAAGTACAGGTGGGGAGTTTAGGGTATATAGGGCTTCTATAAGGCTTCTATAAGGTACATAGACCGTCTATAAGGCTCCTATAACGGTACCTAGATTCATAGGGCTTGCTCATGAGGTCCTGAACCCAAACCCAAACACATAGAGTTCCCTAAACCCTACCGGGGGGATCCAACAAACCTACCGCTTTAAGGGCTCTACCCTCTAATTAAGGGGTCGTAACCTACTATTTTGTAGGGTTTGGGGCCACAGGTAAACCCTAAACCCCATGGTTTGTAATGTAGGGGCCTTAATAATTAGAATAGGGTTTTGGGGGGTATACTGTACCGTAATTATAAAAAGGACCCCCCCCCAAATAGTATGGGTAATTATTTAGGCCCCTACATTAAACTAAGGCTTCTTCTTAAAAGCGACGGTTCGCGTCTCATACAGCGGCCCCGGCCTCAAACGTTGCTACAGCTCGAGCTGGAGCCTGGCTTCAGGCACCTCCTTCCCAGAGTAGTCAGGCCAGGCGTGATGCCGAGTTTTCCTTGGGGCTCGGGTTGCGGGTTTAGGGTTTTGCTGCATGGGCTTTCTCGAACAGAAGGCTCATGGCCGGTTGTAAGTAGACTTCTGGCTACACCTTCTACGGGTATCGTTGGTTTCATGCTTCGTATATGCAAGCTGGCATCGCTGTAGTTACCTTACCCATAAATAACCACAGCTACACCCAAACCCTAAAGCCAAGCTCTGAACCCCAGCCAACCATCCTCAATCCTAAACACGGCCCTGAACCCTAAACCCTAAACCCTGTAAGAACAACGTTCATTGCACATGGTATTGTGGGGTTGCTGCAGTTCTATAGCGATTACACAGATCACATCTGAAGGTGCCATCCCATGTTCCGCAGGACCACAACTCCGAACCCTACAACCCGAAACTTCGAAACTGAACCCTGGAACCCGAAACTTCAACCCCGAAGCCTAAACCCGAAACCCTAAACCCCAAACCTTAAAAACCTGAACCCTACATTCAAGGAAACTCCAAGCCTGCACCCTAAAACCCTGAACTCCATAGATGAACGGTTTAGGGTTTAGGGTTTAGGGTTCAGGGTTTAGGGTTTAGGGTTTAGAGTTTATAGGGTTTAGGGTTTATAGGGTTTAGGGTTTCGGGTTTAGGGCAAGCCGAGCCGCTGATGAGGATGCCACAGGCCGCGGCGCCGAACACAAGCATCCGCGAGCCAGAACGCCTCCCCTCACATGCCATGATGTCCATCACGGCCGCATGTCAGGAGCTCTGTGGTGCTCCGATATCCCAAACCACCAGGGCTTCTTGGGCTTCGGTCCCAAACTTAGATACCCTGTTTAGGGTTTAGAGTTTAGGGTTTAGGATTTAGGGTCTAGGGTTCGTGGGGTTTAGGGTTTAGGAGTTGGCTTCTGGTTTAGGGTTTAGGGTTTAGGCTTTAGGAGTTTAGGTAAGATGTGGGGTTTAAGTTCCAATCTGAGACATGTGCTTGGTCGCTCAAGACAGCAAGGGACTACGAACCCGCCCTGCAAACACGAACCTCAACGCGAAAACCCCAAACCCTGGATTCTGAAACCCCTTAGAAAACGCTTAGATGGCAGCAGGTGGCTCACGGAACCCCAAGGCTACTACTGCTTGGGTTCTGTCTCGAGCCGATCGCGAGAAGACACTCTTCAAGGATAGGTTGAGGGCTCACGGCTAAACGGGGCGACCCTAAACCTGGAACCTAAAACCCAAAACCCTAAACCCTGCAACCTAAACCCTGAGCCCTAAATCCTAAACGCTAAACCATTTAAGGGGTTCATCAGGACTTATAGGGAAGACCCCCAGTTCCACTATACCGTTTAAGGTTTAGGGTTCAGGGTTTTGCGTTTCGGGTTTAGGGGAGGTCCAATATAGGTGCCCAAAGGCCTCGCATGGGTGTAGGGTGTAAGATCCCAACCCTAAGCGTAGATACCCGACAAACGGGGCAGGATATGACCCTTTAGGCACCACACGCATGAGCCCGAGAAGGGGTTGTTCTACACGTACTTTGGGGCCCGAAAAGGTACTTGGAGCCTGTTGGGATGCCTGCACCTATTGTAACTAGGCCTGGCGCCCATTTCTTCTGTAAGTGGAGGCTCATGTTGAGCTAATCTAAGGGTTTGCTCAAAAATACGGTTTTGGGGTCTATCATTCTGAAAGCATACTAAGGAGCTCTGGGGAACAATATCGGTCCCCTATATTCCCAGACCTTGCTAATCCCCTACTCCAAGGAATATGCCAAATTATAGTAGATCACTCATCTGAATTAACAAAGTAGATTCCTTAATTGACGTTTGGGTTAGTCGAGAGCCGACTTGTTAAGTCCTTCTCTGCGTCTTGGCGCAGTGAGGATGTAAGGGTTCAGGGACTCTTAGCAAACTTAAGGAAAACCCATATTTCGTGGGTTCCTTATCGTGATATATACTCTCTGTGCGACCTTGAAAATGCGGGTGTTGGGGAATGAGATGAGGGGCACGGGAAAGAAGACAAAGGCGACAAGAGAAGAGCGATTAGGGATATGCCATCATCTTATTTAATAAGATCATGGCCCCATGGCCAGTCCCTATAATAATGTTGGGGTTTGTGGAGAAATCAGGTTTAAGGTGTCGGCTTCCAGCTGCAAAGGATTTGAAACTTTCGGCAGGGCTAGAGGCTTTTGCCCCCCCGCCCTATTCACATAGCATAAACAAGCATGTTGGAGGGCCTAGGTATGTAATGCAAGCCGAAAGCCCCGCGTGCCGGAGCATTTTTTTGGAGTGAGTTGGAAGCGCGCTCTGTCCACGCGCTTCACGGCCTCACCTAACGATAGGCACTAGGTGGCTACACCCAGCAGGCAGGTGATGCCGGCTGCTGGGACAGTGGATGGGCTAGTGGCAACACTTACTTATGCTCATATCTCCGTGAGGGCAATAACCTTCAGTGTGACCCCTTGCGCCGGTGGTAGAGCCTCGTCTCAGAAGATACCTAAAGGGGCACATGTCCACCAGCAACGATACAGAGTGGAGAAGCAAAGCTCAAGGACATGCTGTGTAAATATGTAAACTTTAAAATAAAAATAACAACAACAATGATAACACTTATTTTCATGATATGTAGTATCATTTTTATCATGGGCATGCATCGCTTGGGGTTATATTATGGCAAACTTGGTTAGGGCCCGCGAGACGTCTGTATCTCACTCGGAACCGGGAGCAGTTCGGCATGACGATGGTCATTGCCAGAGTCAGAACTAGGGTGGCGATGATGTAAATCCTGCAGGATTTATCTCATCAACAGTAGGGTGGCGATGAAGACAGCCAGAATGGCGCTAAAGACTCGAGGATGACTGGCATGTAGTGACGCTAGCATGGAGTAGTATCGGCCCCTGTGAGGATGAGAGTAGTGGTGGCAGGGTCGGGGTGTGCATGCAAGCTGGAGTGGCGATGGTGGTGATGATGATGTTGCCTGTGATGCTGAAACTGATCATGAACCAAGCGAAAACCCTCGATGGCAGTGCTTGAAGCAAGAAACCCTCACCATCAGCAAAGTGTTGCCACGACTGCTGCTCAGAGGTGCTCTTGGCGACGGCATGGGCTGAAGTCAGCCTTCCTGGTGCAGGCTTCTCCAGACTCAAAGGCCGGCTCTGGAACCAGAACTGCTCAGCTAATGTAGGGACCTTAGAAATTAGAATAGGGTTTTGGGGTATATTCTACTATAATTATAAGAAAACCCCCAAGATAGTATTGGTAATTATCTGGGGCCCTATATTAGATATAGAAGAAAGGTCTTCCGCCTCATCGTCATCGTCATGTGTCGACGGTGTTGGTATCATCGCCATCACCATCATCAGCTTCTTAGACAGACATTGCTCGGAGATCAGAATGGCAACTTCACACTTCGAGCCAAACACAAATTCCTGGATTCTAAACCCCCAGACTCGAGATTGCGCACGTTGCAGTAGAGCCCGCGGTCTGCCCGGCTACAGGTTCACTTGGTACAGGTTCCCCATAAAATCCTACAGTAAACCATAAACCCTAAACCCTAACACTGGAAGCCTTAAAAGAACTTTTGGCAACGTCTGCCCAAAGACGGAAGGCTTGACTGGCTTACGGCCTGCTTAGGCCTTCAACTAGGGTCTGCCCTATAACTAACTAAGCGGTCATAAAACATAACCTACTATTTCGTGGGGTTCTGGCAGCAGGGAAAGTGGCTTTGTGCTATCTTCATGTTTGGACGACATATTTTTATGGCCAGGGTCCCTTTGCGGTTCGCGGTTTTGGGTCTCGGGCCCTGTAGCAGGAGAACACGGTACGCACAACCGAAAACACATCACAACATGCACGCTGAACCGCACAACCCAAAACCCTGAACCCCTAAACCCCAAGCCGCACAACCCTGAACCCTAAACCGCACAACCCTAAACCCTAAACCCTGAACCCTAAACCACACAACCCTAAACCCGGAACCCTGAACCCTAAACCCTAAACGGCACAACCCTAAACCCTGAACCGTAAACCCTAAACCGCACAACCCTAAACCCTAAACCGCACAACCCTAAACCCTGAACCCTGAGCCCTAAACCCTAAACCGCACAACCCTAAACCCTGAACTCTAAACCCTAAACCGCACAACCCTAAACCCTGAACCCTTTGCTGGGGCCTTGACATCTGCAGGTGGCGCTGTGCCTCACGGAGGTGTTGCAACAAACAAGGCACCCGAAGCCCCAAAACCGAACCGAAGCTCTCCTTCCGAAGCCGGGTTTAGGGCTTAGGGTTAGGGTTTAGGGTTTAGGGTTTAGGGTTTAGGGTTTAGGGTTTAGGGTTTAGGGTTTAGGGTTTAGGGCTTCAGGGATTTATGGGTTGCATGTTCAGGTTAATTCGGAAGAGATAACCATGAAATGTACGGGTTTCAGGAACCCCGCTTTTACTGGGCTGTTCTCAGCGAGAGCTCGACTCAAAATTGTCCGACCTGTCCTCTCTTGCATGACGACCTCCTCTACATAATCAATTTGCCCTCTCACGAATCTTGAATCCTCAACCATTCGCAATTCCAAACCCCTCGAGCTAAACAACCCTGAATCCCTGAGGAACGGAACACTAACACCCGCGCAACCCTGAGACAGACTTATAGAGTCACCCAACAAAAAAGAACACTACGACCCGGCAATCCTCCTAATTTTAACCCTAAACCCGAATCCCTAAATCCGATACTCTGATTATAACGACTACTTTAAGGCCAAACTATATACTATTTGGGTACATGGACCCTTACCGGGTAACCTAAACCCTGAACCCTAAACCCTGAATCCTAAACCCGATACACTGATCCCGAACCCAAGCCCTAAACCCTGAAACCCTGAACCCTAAACACCTACCCTAAACCCTAAACCCTAAACCCTGAACCCTCAACACTGGAGAGGCCCGAGCTTTCGCCCGCTGGCGCCGCTTCGGACGGAGCAGTGGCTGCCTTCCTCGGGATGTTCGTTTTTTTTGCTAAGGTGCTTTCCGGGGCTTTGTGATTTAGGCTTGGGGTTTAGGGTTGATAGGGTTTAGGGTTTTTGGGTTTAGGGTCTAGGGCTTTGGGGGCTTTATGATTCAGGCTTAGGGTTTATAGGGTTTAATCAGGTGGTGCAAGTACAGGGTTTGTTTGGGTTTTTTATAGGGTGTTGCTTGTAGGAATTGCGGCTAAGGTTCTGCAACGTTCTTAAAGGATTTGTGGTTACCGTAAGGTTTTATCAGGTTCTTATAGGGCCATGGCTTGTATAAGTGAGGAAAGGGTTTCGGAAACGACTGTTCTGATAGACCAGGGTTTTTGCAACGGGGCTTGAGCTCGGTTGTTTGAGGGATTTGTAGGTTTGTTTCGATGCTTTTTGGGGCTGTAGGTGATTGCAAGTCTTTAGACATCTACTGTTATTGCGTGTAGTGCTTCCAGGGTTGATCTCAGCATGTACAACTAAAACCTCATTGAAAAGCTCTGTAAACAACCAGTATGTAATGTAGCAGTTAGAGAAGAAATTGCTAACACTACTCCTAGGATCCTAGGCTTCCATTTTCTAACTATAATTTTGCGTGCCACCCCCCCCCCCCCCCCCGCCCCACCTTACTCTAATTACACAAGCCAGTGTATTAAAATTACCTACTTTGAGCTGTTTGGAGTGTCAAGGTTCCGGAGGGCTAGACAAGGTGTCTTGTATAGGGGCCTGCAAAATCATTGCTGCAGCGTAGAGCGATGCACGAGCCTGTGGGGCTTGTTGCCGATGTAGGGACTTTGAAGTTTGAAGGTCTGAGAGCTTTTGCAAAGGCTCATAGGGTTTAGGGTTTAGGGTCATATGCAATACCCATCTGCACTAACAGTGTATTACCTAGACGGACCTAGACTCCATGTATGGATATGGAGGGCCGATGGGCATGTTGGAAGGCTGCATGAAAGCTGGGGCTCTTAGAAACTCAGCGACACTGCTTCGTCCACGTCATGAGGGTTTCGATCAGAAACCTTTGCAGCGTGCGCAACCCACAGTTGCGTGCCGCGACTCTGCGCGACACGCGACTCACATGGCCTACACAGTCTTCTGACATCTCCGTGAGGAAGATGTCCGGATTTGACACGACTCTAACCTCCTTGAACACCAATTGCTCGGCGATATGCACACTGATGATCCAAGGAGGTCTCCTTGACGGCCTTTCTCATTTGCAGGTCATGTTGCCTCGTAGTGAACTAGCGTGTCCTGCTGCACCATCCCATACAAAATGCTGCAAGCGTCGGCGACCTCCTCGACACCTCGATGTGTGAGCCCCGCGAGCCTAGGGCCATGCCACGACCAAAGAAGTTACCAGAGAGGCTGAGGAACTGCAGCAGAACAGCAGACTGGGCCCGCAAGGCCTACCACGTCAAGGTGGCACAGCTTGTCCCTCCAAGCAACGCAGAGAACTTCATATAAGTCCTTACAGCAGTTAGATATAACCTATAGAAACTCAAGCAAAAGACGATCAAGCTCAGTATAAAGCCTGATAGCCTTATAACAAATGACATACCTGAACCATAAGCCCTAAAAGCTCGACCCTAAAACCTATAAAAGCTATACACCCCGAACCCTATAAAACCATATAAAACCCTACAGAGCCGCGCTGAGCGCTTCACGGCGCCGGCGCTGCGCCGAGCCGATGCCCTGCTCCCCAGCCCATGGCCTCACCTGAAAAGGTTAGAGGTATAGGGTTTGGGGTTTTGGGTTTAGGGTTCAGGGGTATAGGATTTTGGGTTTTGGGCTTAGGGTTCAGGGTTCAGGGGTTTTTGGGGTTTGGGATTTAGGGTTTATAATGGGGTAAATATGACTTATATTTCGGGTTTAGAAGGTTTGAGGATCCGGGTTTAGAGTTTATAGGTTTAGGGTTTAGTTAGAGCGTAGGGTACAGCATAGGCATGAGGTCGGGTTAGAGCTTGTCTGTTAGGCCTGTCTTAGCCTTGCTCGAGTTTTTGCGGTGTTGGGATTCTTATTGCGTTTAAGATCTTGGGGCTGAGAGCCTTTAGGGTGGCAGGTGGCTGGGGAGGCCTTCAACCTGTGACCCCAACCCCTACAACATAGTAGGCTGTGAACCCTGAATTAGGAGGGTAGAACCCTTAAAACGGTAGGTTTTGGGATCCCCAGGAATAGTTTGTAGTTCAGGTGCCTTCATGTTCTTCATGGGTCCTTTGTGCGGATCGACCGAAACTTTGTATTTTACAGTGGTACGCGTAATGTTTGGGCTCTAGAGCTTACGTTGGAAAGGTGCAGGATTCCCTAAACCCTAAACCCCAAACCCTGAACCTAAACCAGTCAGGTTTAGCGGATCTGGATTTGCAGTTCAAGACTACGGGTTTCCAGGCTCCAAGTATCAAGAGTTTCCTAAAGGCTCCATGCATCAAAATAGTATATACTTTTTCCTTACAGTAGTCCCTGCATAGGTACTTGGGGGCCAGCGTATTATATGCTATTCGAGTAATTACATGGGCCCTGAGGGTTTGCGAGCTGGTGGCATGATGTGTGCTCTGTACGGTGTAGGGCTTAGGCCTTAGGGTATACGGCTTTGGGATCGGAGGGCGTACAACAAAAAACCAAAGCGTCAGCAGCTGAGAGTGACCACAAGAGTCGCTCCAGGGTAGATGAAGCCCGAATGCAGATTGCTCTCCAATTCCTTAACCGACCCCTGGACCCTAAACCCCAAACCCATGGACCCTAAACTCCGAAAGCCCTACGACCAGAAACCCTCGACCCAAAATGCGCCACACTGTCGGGGTCAAAGTCGGAATATCCCAGGTTCACGGGTTTAGGGCTTAGGGAATCGTAGCAGCAATGCCAGCCATCCTTGCACAAAATACACTAAGCCCTAGAACCGAAGTCAGAAACCACAAATCCTGAAGCACACACTCCAGAAAACCTAAACCCCCTAGACCCCTAACGCGCCAAACCATAACAAAGCCCAAAATCCTAAACCTCCCAAACCTACATGTGGGTACTTCTCCAAATTAGGGTCCCTTTTCATGTCCCCAATATAGTACTGCACCCTCATAAAAAGGACCCCCAAAAGGGAGCCTAATTTAGAGAACTACCCATGTAGAAACTTGCAGCTACGCCCCGGGAAGAAACAGCCCAAGAGTCGAGGTTTGGGGCATGGCCGCAGTTTCGGGTTTCGGCATTTGAGGTTTGAGGCTTAGGCTAGGGTGTATAGAGACGTATAGTCTAGTATGGAGCTTGGGGTTTAGGGTTTGGGGGGGTGTATAGAGCTTAGGGTTTGGGGTTTAGGGGTTGTTTAGAGCTTAGGATTCAGGGCTTGGAGTTCAGTGTTTTTTTCAAAAACCCTACCCTTAGAGGAACAACAAAGCTTTTTTTCTACGGCCCCGGCCAGGTTTAGGCTTGTTTCACGTTTGCGGCTCCCGAAATCTGTTTCCCTGTTGGGGCTATATTAAAAGTATTCATTCTAATCCTTATTGGGTTTTACTGTAAGAAACATGTAAAAATTGCAGCCAACAAGGACCCAGGAACATCACCTAAGGCTCCATGTACCTATATAGTATATACTTTGGCCTTCACGGGGCTCCTATACAGGTACTTTGAAGTTTGAAGCCTAAGTATATGCTATGTGGGCACATGTGGCCTCAGGGCTAAACTCTATACCATGTAATACCTTGTTATGCAGTTGAGGGAAATCCTTAGCCGCACAGGTAACGGAAAAGGTGTAGGACATTTCAGAGTATCAGCACAGAACCCATATAGTAAAAGCCCTTGTAGAACCCGCTTCTAACCACACACACAACATTGAAAAAACAAAAACAAAAACCCATTTCGCACCCGAAAAAGAAGCCCTGAACCATAACCTAAACCCTAAGCCCTAAACCCTCAACCCTAAACCCTAAACCCTAAACCTTAAGACCTAAACCCTAAAACCCTAGACCCTTGGGATTGACTTCATGGCTGAGCCTGTAAAACTCGCCGGTGCTGTGACGCCCGTCTCCTGGTGCACAAGGCAGCTGCCGATGGTCTACATACATGTGGGTGGTTGTCAAAACTATGGTCCCTTTTTTTGGTCCTTATTATAATACGGCACCTATTATTTAGGGTACCCCAAAAGGGACCATAATTTTGACAACTACCCACATGTATTCACACATGGGTAGTTCTCTAAATTAGGGTCTCTTTGAGGGCCCTTTTTATAAGGGTGCCATACTATATTGGGGACCCCAAAAAGGGAACCTAATTTAGAGAACTGCCCACATACAAATTCAGACAAACCTGTTTATCGATCCTATCTGTGTATCTATCTGTCTATCGAACTGTCTATCTGTCTGTCTATCTATCTGTTTATCTGTCTATCTGTCTGTCTGTCTGTCTGTCTGTCTGTCTGTCTGTCTGTCTGTCTGTCTGTCTGTCTGTCTGTCTGTCTGTCTCTCTGTCTGTCTATCTATCGATCTATCTCTACCTATATGTCTACCTATCTATCTGTCCATCTATCTTTCTGTCAACAATGTATCTATCGGTCTACCTATCTAGCCTCTTACATATCTATCTCGCTTTCTCCTTCCTATCTATGAGTCACACTTTCTCACTCGCTATCTATGAACCTATCTATCTGTCTACCCTTCTATCAGTCTATCTATATTGATCCGATCAGACCGGCCAGGCATCTTTATTCAGTCAGCGTATGCATCCCGGATGTGTTTGTAGGATTACCATGAATTACCCGGTTGCATGGGCCCGATTCTAAACATCCGACTCCAGGCATGTTCGCGATGGAGATTCGCTTGTTATGCGGAACTCAACCTCTGCATGCTCGATGCTTGGGCGGTCTCGGTTGGGGGCTTCAGAACCTCGATCGATTCTGTGAAACAGATACAAGTCTACATAGACATATAAGCATGGAGATAAGGTTGCTGATAAGGATGCATATGAAAATCAACAGGAAACTGTGCTAAAAGAACGACAAGCAACGAGAAACATACAAAACTGCAAGAATCTACCTATCTATTGACCTATTGCTCTATCTATCTATCTATCTATCTATCTATCTATCGATTTATCTATCTATCTGTCTGTCTGTTTTCTAAATGCATATTTATATATCTATATATATATATATGTATATATGTATATATGTACACAGAATATTGCATAATTATCATAGTATGTAGTGGTGTACATTTTGTGATTTGTTTTAGTTATTCCGATTGCCGGGCTGCTTCCTGATGTTACCAAACATATATGTCTTCATGTACTACCGACATGACATGTCACTCATGACTGATGTTGCGTGGGCTATACGTGCTGACTTTGCAACTACTACGGTTGATGCACAAAATCCTGCATGACCTTATATACGTAAACTATGGGATTTATGGTACTATACTATCTTTGGGTCATGCAGGATTTTGTCCATCAACAGTATTACCACAGCTAACTCACACTATGCGGCTATGGACATTGCGACCTGCATTCCGTCTGACATTCATGCTACCCCGAATGCCAATGGAACACCGGAGCTTCATCCAACGTCAAGACATCATGTCTGTTGTTGATGTCTTGGACTGTGACACTGCTACACGTGTCCATTTCATGACTGGTATAACCGGCTGTTGTTCCAGCCACGGACCACTCTTGTGCTAAAACATTGCGCTTATGATTCAATTCAACAGATTCGCGAATTTTACCCAAAGCCCAAATTTATTATCGATGTACCTCACGTGCCGCTGCAATCACTTGCTTCTTCTGACCCTAAATCTCGAGCCCTAAACCCCTAAACCTAAACCTTAAACCCGAAAGCCCTAAAGCCTAAACCGCACAACCCTAAACCCTAAAGCCCTAAACCCTAAACCGAACTCAAAGCCTTAAACCCCGAACCCTCTCCTCGGGTCGGCAAGGTCCCAGCTGTTCGACAAGATCTGCGCGGCTTTGGAGTTCGGGTTTCGGGGTTTAGGGTTTAGGGTTTCGGATTTCACGGTTCATACGGTTGATGATGTAAATCCTGCATTACCCATAATAAGAATAAATATACCATAACTCCCATTGTTTCGGGTCCTTATAAAGTAATGCAGGATTTAGATCATTAACAGTAGGACTCAGTAGGAATTCCGGGTTTAAGGGTTTTGTGGGTTCAGGTGGGATGGTTGTGGCAGACATTGAAAACTTCGGTTCCAGACAGCATGGCCATTTCGATTTCGCTGCTTGGATCCCAGAGACTCTGACAAAGAAGGTTTATAAGGGCTTAGGGTTTAGGGAAAGGGCCCTGCTTTCAGCTGCCTTAGCCCTCCGTGTTCAAAAGGCTGCTTGTTTCTCCGTTGGCATCGTGGTTGTTCATCACCCACGGAGGCTCTTCTAAGCTGCCGCAGCCCAATTTCCGCTTAGTGTTTAAGAAGATGAGCTAAACCCTAAACTCAAAATGTCTCTCAGCAGGGTGCTTATTAGGGTGGAGGGCGGGGATCAAGGCTTCGGAGAGGGTTTTCTGATTTGCGTGAACCAGGAGGCAGGCCACGGATTCATCAAGGTTTCCAGTGTAATTAACGTGTCACTGATGGCTGCTCCGTTCTGCTTCTTGCCAATCCCTAAGCTTCCAGGGACCTCATCATTGGGTCCTTAAGGGGTCTAGGGCCCAAACTATAAGGTCCTTGACAGCAGAGGGAATGCCACCATTGTTTTAGTGTTCTTCCTACTGCGCTTGGCACTGGCACTGGCGCTGTTGCTTAGTCAGCGGCACTGTCATGATCAATGTTTTCGAGCGGCAATGTAATTGCATTCACACATCTTCACACTGGAATCGCATTTACGACGAATATCACGACTATAGTTACGTTGTGCCGTTGATTGTTGTCACCGCTGCAGATTCGACAAAATATAACCTTCACCGCCTTCATGTCCAACATGGACTTTAGGCTGCCGGTCCTACGCGCTCTACTCACTCAACCCAGCTGTAATGCTAGTTCTTCGTTTACCCCCCAATGTTTTGATGGAAGAAACCTGAATATATGCAAAGGATCCGAATGCTAGCGCCTTACAATATTATTTTAGGGATCTCTAAACAAGGTTAGTTTTGTGAGACGCCAAACTCAAATTTAGGGTTAAGTCTAGGCTTCTGGATCTCACCATCATTTGTTCGGGAATTGCCCCGCGGTAGAGGCGCTTCTATCCTCTAAGTGTACACATGCCCGTATAGCACATGCTCCGACCGCAAACAGTGTGCGTCTGTAGGAGCCGTTTATAGCCCTATGCATATACAGGCTTGAAGCATCCCCTTAGGATACACTTTGAATCCATAGAAGCCCCAAGAGGAATCCTATGAACCTGAAACCGCTCTTCCAGAATCCTTTGTAAGACCCAAAGACTGTAGGGTTTCTATATTCGGAATGACTATTATGATTTAGGGAAGTATCCCCCCGCAAGAGTAAATAGGACCCTTTGGGAGAAGCCTTTTAGAGAATCCTACAGGCCCTAAACCCGCCAACCTGGCGCAAGGTAGGGTGGCGGTGGCTTCGCGTCGTCAAAGCCGAGATACCTGGCTTTCCGCCACGTCTGCGGCAGTTTGCGTAGTTCAGGGTTGCCTGTGACCCCAAACCCTACAAAATAGTAAAACAGTAGGTTATTCGATTTCTAGCTGACGTCTAGGTTTCGGGCTTTTAAAGTTTGTACGTGTTCAGATTTTCCCGAAACCCTTCGTCCGAAACTACTACGGTTGATGATGTAAATCCTGCAATACCTATAATACGGAGTATACCATAATTCCCATAGTTTAGGGTCCTTAAGGTATTGCAGGATTTATATCATCAACAGTAGTTTTGAGGGTTCTACCCTCTAAATGAGGGGCTCTTGTCCCACCATTACAGCCAAAGTACATGTTACATGTTGCTGAAACCGGCAAAGGTGGATGGACCCTTAGGATTTGATGCTGTTGTGCCGGTCTGGTATCAGTGATGGAAGGGTCTCCAAGGTTCGGATTCGCAGGATTTAGTCGCGGCTCTCCGCCCGGATAGGTGCAGATAGAATCCCTGACGGTCCATGTACCGATAAAGAACATACTTTGGCCTCAACTGGCTTAAAATGTAGGTACCTTGCAAGTTACCTTGCGGCCAAAATATGTACTATTTGGCACATGGACCACTGAGGCATACGAATGGTTGTATTTACCTCACCTGCAGCATGCTCCGTTACCCTGGAACGTCTGAGAAGGGCATACCGCTCGTACCCAATCTCTCGTATGAGCAGGCATCCTTCCCTTTTTTTTCTTATTCTTGGGGCCTCTCCAGAACTCCAGGTACAGTTTAGGATTTAATTAGAGACTACTGAGGGCTCGCAGAGTTAGGGTTTAAGGATTGAGCTCGTGGTTGAGGGATTTCAGGACTTTGAGGGCTGTTTCACGTTTCGGGGATTGTTCTCGGAGATGTTGGGTGCCGGCTTCTACGTTCCGCCTGAGCACAAGCCTGTGAAAGCCCATAATAAAGCTAAGTATCTGAAGCGTGCGCAGATGGCGCGTCAACCAAGGGGAAAGCCGATCGTGCTCATAAGAGTAACATGCTCTTATGCATACTAAGCGAAAACGATATAAATAATAAAACTAGTAGTAGTCGTCGTCGTCGTCGTAGTAGTAGTAGTAGTAGGAGTAGTAGTAGTAGTAGTAGTAGTAGTAGTAGTAGTTCTTGTTGTTGTTGTTGTTGTTGTTGTTGTTGTGGTTGTTGTTGTTGATG